CTACCACGGCACATAAAAGTGTTGTAGTGTATGAAACTTGATAGCACCTGTGTGTTGGCCAGTTGCTCTTCTCTCCCGGTAGAGGTCTCTCCTAGTGTCGATGGCAGGCGTCGGCCGGCGTCAGGAGTACAAGCGACGGCAGTCGTACTGTGCGGTCGCGGGGTCCGGACTCACCGTCAGTGTTCGCTAGGTTGGAGGGGCACCACCTTGAATGAACGAGCAGGTAGTGGTGTTGGTGTTGGCGGACCGTCCTGCCGTCGTGACCACTTAGCAACGATTGTTTCCCTAGTGTTCGTTACGGTCAGCTGCCTTCAGTGTTTCATAGACACGAATAAAAAACTTTTTATGTTATGTTTTAGTGTTGATCGATGTACGGTAACTCCTATACGACTGTGTTCCTTGTGACTGAATGGACCGCATGGAAACCTTAAAAAGTGACATCACCAACACTGAACAACTCGCGGAACGGTCAGCTCTGAGATACAATAAATAATCCGTTTATAGAGCGATAATTTATGACTTCCTGTTTTATACTTAACTGAATTGCATTTAATGAAACGTGACATCAGGCTCTGAAGAAATTGTGAGGCAGTTTACAGTTACATCAAATTAGCCTATTTATTCGCAGAAACGTTCATTGAAGCTTCCTGTTTTTATACGTGAATTAAGTTTGTATACAGTGTGAAGTGGCTTTGCGAGCAACTCAGTTGTGTATTGAAACATCGTGTCATTCGTAAGCCGAAGATTTTAAAATTAACTTCTTACTCTGTCGTAAACTTTAATGCTATTACCATCATTGAGACGATAGAAATATATTCAGATTCTAATCGATCATGTTATCCACTTCATCTTACATATTTTTAGTCCTCATATGTGCTCAGTGATAAAGTGAGATGGATGGATTATTCTGCTGTCTAAAATAATGTTTCTATTTTCCAACTTGTGATGTAAAAAGACTTAAAATGAAAGTTGTGCACTTCGTCTCCAAACAAACAGTCTCCGTTTTTCATGTTCCTTGTATTCTGTTACTATGGAATATTCGCATCTTATACGATTTTAAAAGATTTAACTAACATTTACGTCGAATATTGTTCGCCGTGTGTCATCGTAATCTTTATTTAATTGACCCGTTTCGTGCTGATTAACTTGTACTACGTCCACCTGTTAATTACTCACAGCATTCACCGTTATTTAAATGTTCCGATACTTCGACGTGAAGCAGACTTGGGATTTTTATACACGCTGTTTAATAATTTTTGGGAGTGAAATGCTTCGACTGTCGGTTTAATTTTGGAATGTTTACAAATCCAGATCGTAGTAATTATTGCTGGAATCATAGGAAGAAATCAGCCATAACATGTACGACACAGACAATTACAGAGCAAATAGTTCTAAATGGAAAGAATAAACGAACTAATGTTTTAATAATTTATGAAGCTGGCCTAAGCTAAGGAAACTTTAAATTAGCGATGTTTTAGAAATGGGGCTGCGTATAAGAAAAGAAGTTCTGTCTTTGGAGTTTTCTTGTAGAAACTCGGATTATTTATTGGTACCTTGAGAGACATGTATAACAGTGCAGTTTCATTTATATTACGTATACACTATACGTAGACGAAGATAGAAGTGGGTGTTTTTAGTTGTACTTTCTTCAAGGAGTTGAAATTTCCTTCAGCAATTTGGTTACTGGAAACCAGCAGCTTCAACAAATAGTTCTCTGTTCAGACTTTTTTGTTGTTGTTTTTTGGTTTGGTTTTGTTCAAAGGAAGAAAATTAATTTTTTGTGGTTTAAAAGTGATGTGTGAGTGCTGAATTTTCCTCTGCCAAAGTGTTTTCTTCGTCTTTTCACTGGGGTTTCTTCTTTGACGCGTGTCTTTGTGAATCATCGTATCTACAGTGTGCTCTCGAAATTTAAGACCTCCTCCTACCTTATTCACCGTTTGCCCTCACCAAAAAGTACTTCTAGCTGCAGGTTCAGAGAATTTCTGCTTTTGTTTCCTTCACCTCCCTTCTTCCTCCAGTGTCTTTCTCAACTGCAAAGTGTTTTTCCAACGCGTATAGGAAGCATATGGCATCGATCTACGATCTTTTAAAGGGAAAACGTTTCTATGGGCTCTTTTCCAGCATGAGGTGAAATCATCTCTCCAGCAGAGTCAGCGGTGAAGGTAGAAAAGTAAAAATATTGTATTTATTTATCTCTCCTATAATTTTTTTTTCGGTTGTTGTCCCTGATGTAGGTGGCAGTTGATGTGAAGAGCAACGCCATGTATCATCTACCGATCCATAGCGTCACTGTGTTCCTGGTCTTTTTCCTGTCATGTACTGAAACGGCAGCCGAAGGTAAGTTTTCTTTTTAAAACAAATATTTCTTATACTTTCTAGGTTACGATGTTACTGACTTCTTAGTGTGACCAACAATTCCGCTGAGAGAAAACATTATTTAATATTCACCCGATTATGTTATAGCCGTATTTGATAATAATTCTAACAGCAACGTGTTGCAAGTATTTAAATTACGGTTTAAATTTAAAAAAAATTCTTGTCATTCGACCGTACTACAGCAGAATGTCCATTGATTTAGACGATAGTAATTGATTCATAATCTTCTAAAATTACTGATAATTCTGATTTCTTCTACTTCTTGTGCTAATAATAGACATTTAGTAGCCATGTAGCTTATATAGACATTTATTTAGTGCTCGTGGATAGTCGTCTTAAAGTCCAATTGATCGGCAGAAGTTTGAAAGGAAACGATTAGAGCACTCGGGGTTAGCAAGAAATGGTTATCGTTTGAATTCGCCTTCAGTGACTCCTCACCGAGCCTAATCGACTTTAAAAGTTTTATTCTGTAAGTTTCCGGTTGCTATGAGCGTGGTATATATGGAGGAATACTTGTTTAATATATTTTGAAGTTTATTGGGAATAGTTTTGCGTCTCTTATTCCATGTACGTATTGTCTCAGAGTAGCTCTTATTAAATGGATAAATTAAATGTAACTTAAATTGCATTGCCGTTTGGTGCCGAGGTTAACAATACACGGGGCTTTAACCTCCACATAGCCTATACGCCTTTTGAGGCACAAAGGTAATTTTACCATGGCCTTTCTACTGCAGGTTAAGGATTTTAAGTTATAAGGCATGCCATAGTTTCATGATAAGTGATTAAACAAATCGTAACACAGCAATGCCACATCTGCAATCATATTGGCAGTGTCTGTCAAGTAGGGAAACGATTTTGGAAATTTCTCATGCCGAACTTTAGGTTCATTCTATTTCTTACCGAATATAAAACAAGTAGTAACCGTTTGCAAGCTTTAAACGGACAGATTCTCCGGTCACTTTTGCTTTGCGTATCTTCGATATTTATAACATCTGTGAAGGTAAAATATGTCATAGGTTATATTTCAATTGTAACTACCTACCTGTGGTTTTTGGTAAAGGAGATTTTGTTTCCATGGAAATAAAAATGTTTCAAAACTAAACTCAGTACGTAAATGATTGTATTGAAAATTACATTTACAAACATTGTCCAGAATTTACAGAAAAGTGGAAACGGAAAGTTTATCAGTTTTTATTCTCATTCTCAAAATTGTTTGGAGCTGTATAGAGAGACGTTGTCAGCCCGCGTGCCAATCGTTGGCCACCCCTGATCTAAAGGAATGAAACTACACGCTAAATGTGTTGGCAGACCCACGATTGAGCTCTCTCGAAACCAGATTGTCCCCATTTAATGAGAATTTAGCATAAGGCAGGGCGTATTTTTCCCCTTGGTGGTCTTGTTGGAATTTCGAAGTGGAAATTACAGTTTCTGTTTGAGGAAATAATTCATTTCACTCAGTAAGTGTTCAGAAAATAAAGTTGAAAATACATATCCCAGTAACCAGGACGAGATTAATCCGATTTCTTGAGCATGTAGTGTTTGAGACGGTTTAATATGTGCGTGGATTGTGTTGGCTATTGTAATTATTCTCAGTATATAATTTTCTTAAAATCGCGAAAGTTAACCCGTCTAAATGGTTACACGTAGG